CAATTAAAAATCTGTCTCAACTTGATGCATTTCAGTGCCACTTTTTTATGATATTCCATTTGTTTTACCCTATTCAAGCAGTACTTCCTTTTTGTAGTTTAAAGGGATTTTGTTGCATCTGCTTCCAGATATTTGGAAGTAAGATCTTCCCAAACCTTTTCAGATATCTCATCTTGTATTGCTTGAGAAATCATTCTTGTTTTCTGTTAACAGTGGACTGTGGAGACCCTGGCTTTCCTATTAATGGTTCCCAACTTGGCACCTCATCCTACCTTGCATACACCACTGTCAACTTCCAATGTGATTTGGGTTTTAGTCTTATAGGAGCTCCTGTCATTACATGCATTGATGGATCATGGTCGCTACCTATTCCAACATGCTTACGTAAGTTCTGTTTATTAATCTCACTGAGGTAATTATTTGCTGACATGAGAATTTTTCTGCTTTTCACCTTTATCTTTATTTCACCTCATGCTACATGCTAACACTGCTAGACAACCAAGATAAAGCACGAAGCCGTTTACCTAGAGAATTTGAATTACTTTATCTAGAAATGGTTCCCACTCAATTATTTACTGTTTTCCCACGGGATGTACATATAAGGCGAGCATTAAAACGTCTTAAAGAATATTAAATGGTCATCCAATTTAAGCACACTCTAATTGCTCATTTCTCCTTGGAAGCTACCTAAAATACATCCAATGTGTTGTAAGAAAAATAGTCTAAGCTAACAATGATGCTGAACTGTAGGCAACTCTTCTTTCCTTCATCCTAATTAGCTGACTGTGGAGATCCGGGAACCCCAACCCAAGGTTTTCAGGTGGGAACTCCGACTTACTTCATGGGTACCACGGTAACATTAGAGTGTAATGGTGGTTATGAACTTGTGGGGGCTTCAGTAATCACATGTGAGGGTGGAACCTGGAGCCGTGATATCCCTATGTGCTTCGGTGAGTATTTCATGGAACCAATTTCACAAACTAACAAAGAAAGATCTTTTATTCACCAAGAAATGAACTACACAGAAGACGGATCTGTTTTTGAGCTGAAGACAGAAATATTTATGAAACTGTTTGTTTCTTCACCACTATAAATTTGTATGCGTGAGACACGATCCTAGTCATTTTCAGCAGTCAAATGTAAACAGCACGAATTTTTACAAAAAATGTAGTTATGCTCAAACAACTTCTCTTTTATAGCTAACTGTGTTGACCCCGGTACACCCGAAAATGGCATACAGTCTGGTTCCTATGGCAACGGTGGCGTCTTGACATTTATATGTAACAATGGATTCAGCTTGTTGGGAGCCAGTGCAATTACTTGCTCCAATGGCACCTGGAGCAACGATGTACCTACATGTGAAGGTTAGTTACAAATTAAGACCCAATCAATATCCAAGGTAACTAGTAGTCCATGATTCTGCGTTATAAATAAATGACATATTAATGAAATGAAACGTGGCAAACCACAGGAAACGTTGAGTGAAAATGAAGTCATTCGATTTGTGATCGGTTACTTCGCAAGTTCTTGGGATATATTGAACAAATTACACAAGATTTACTTTTCAAAACTGGAGATTGAGTATGGGTAATGTTTATGATACGATTTTTTTCTTTCTTCAGCGGACTGTGCTGACCCAGGTACCCCATTAAACGGTAAAACGACGGGAACGTTCAGTAATGGAGACACGCTTTCATTTGAATGTAATGATGGATACACGCTTGTGGGAGCTAGGAACGCAACCTGTCGTAGCGGTACCTACGATGAGCCTGTGCCTACTTGTTTCGGTAAAGCTGTCCAACACATTCAGCATACTTAGGATTTTTGTTCTCGTTCAAAATTAATACGTTATTGCATTTTATCAGCATCATACATCAGTTAACATAACATTTGGTTTAAAGTTTCGCTGTCCTACAAGTATAGTGTCCACATAATCTCATTGGTGGAACGTGGAGTCTTAATTAGCCACGTATAATAGTACGAATTTACGCGCCAAAATGTTCACTTTACGTATTTGACTGCTGTTGGACAAGCAAAAGTATACAATTTGTGGAATGAAAATTGGGAGAAAAACTATTGATTTTCTGGTACTGTGCCCATGGAGTAGAATTGATAGAGCATCGATTAGGCCCAAAGCTGAAAACAGAATACCACAAAACACCATGATGGAAAGTGCAGAAAACTCCATAAATCATTATTTTCCTATTTCTGCCTCTGTCATGGAGAGTTAATATTGTTTTGTTATTTATGCAGAAAACTGCGTAGATCCAGGTACCCCAACCTCGGGTAGCCAATCAGGATCATATGGGCATGCTGACGTCGTGACTTATTCATGCACAGTTGGATTCCAACTGGTTGGTGCAGCGCAGATCACGTGTGATGACGGCACCTGGAGTAATAGTGTTCCGTCTTGTTTAGGTAAAATCTTCATTTCACACCAAAATTTTAAGACGGGTCGGCATATGAACAGGCAGGCGAGTGACTAGGCAAGCAACCAAATTTATCAGATAAAGTCCGAACCCACATTGAAAACCAACTAATGAAAACTGTTCACTTTTTCCCATGACAGCCAACTGCACAGACCCAGGGACTCCAGCCTTTGGAAGTCAAACAGGAAATTACGGCAATTCTGAAATTGTCTTCTTTAACTGTTCTGAAGGATACACTCTGGTTGGTGCAGAGCAAATCACTTGCGTGAATGGAGACTGGTCCAATAGTGTGCCTTTATGTAGAGGTAAACAACCTATATTTATTGTGATCAAGTTAAAGATTTAAGATAAATGAAAAAGCCCTTCCTACAACAATACAGCCAAAAAATGCAACCTGCACTGAAAACAATGGAAATGCTGGTAACAAATGAGCCAGTGCATAAATGTCCTGATTTCCAGATTTCAAAGGTTTGTTCTGGGGGATGTGATTTGTCACGGAATTTGACAGTCAAACCTCACATTATGGTTGCTACACACAGCAGGTTGGGAAACTACTTTGTTTCATTTTTTTTTTCCCTTTTCACCTTGGTTTTTAACTTAGCGAATAAAATGACTTGCAGTAACAAGTTGCAGCATGCAATTCGTAGGCTTGGCAAGCTGTAATAAATTTTCAAAATAGTACTTCCAGATCTTTGTTAAATCCATGTGCTTACACTCCTCACAATATTTCGTCATGATCACAGCCAACTGTATTGATCCCGGCACACCGACATTTGGCACCCAGATAGGAACCTACAACCACGGTGATGTTGTTTTATACAATTGTTCAGAAGGCTACACTCTGATTGGTGCCGCGCAAATCACATGCATTGATGGCACATGGAGCAATAGCATACCGACTTGCCAAGGTAATGTAAACTGAGTGCAAGGCTGGCTTTCTTTAATGATATGGTACATACCAGAACTGAATTACCAGACTGAATTATAACCTTTTTCTTAATATCAAATAGCTCAATTAAGATCTTTGTTTGTGGAGGTGAAATCTGTTTATACGGATGATTAAAGGGTTACTACAATACTTTTCGACACATCAATCTGTCGATACGTTCTGTGAATTCTGAACAAAAATAATCCTAAATGTCAATTTAGCATTCATGAAACACCACCGTTTTGATTTATGTTTCAGCTATTTCAAACGCAGCTACTGCAGGAATCCAACAGGAAGCAACAACTGACGCTGATGCTCAACCGATAACGATGACCACACAACCAACTGAAAGCCAATTTAGCAGTCCACTGATGTCAACTAAACCGTCTGGTTCGGCCGATATGAGTCAGCCAACTGTGGTAACTGAACCGATTACTGCCGAGCCCTTCAGCAGTCAACCGATGTCAACTAAACAGTCTAGTTCGCCCAATACTAGTCAGCCAACTATAGTAACTGAAAGGATCAGTAACGAGACTTTCAGTGGCCCACCCATGTCGACTAGACCCACTAGTTCACCTAATGTACGTCAGTCAACAAGGGTTACGGATCTGATAAGTGAAGAGCCTTCAAACAGTCCATCTATTTCAACTAGACCTTCTGGTACAACTGAACCCAGTGACGCTTCCACACTTCTTATAACCACACCACCTCCAATGCCTACTCTACCAACAAGACCACCTATGCCTTCTCGGCCAAGTAGTCCAATGCCTCCAATAACTGAGAAACCAGAATATACTTATCCCCCAACACCAACCTCTGATAATCCATATCCGACAGATCAACCACCAATTAAGCCAAAGTTCTGCCCACCACTGTGGCTCCATATTCAGGGAATGTATAGGCGGCGATACAAAGATGGAGACAAGGTTATTTTCTCCTGTAAGCCTGGCTTTGCTGTGGTTGGACCAAAATGGATCGTCTGCTTTGAAGGAGAGTGGAGTGGGCTCGTTCCAGAGTGCAGACGTAAGTACACCCAAAGCAGACACACCTTCAGAAGCACTTCTGCAGACAATTTCGACAACACAATTTCTTCAACAAAGTGTTACAAACAAAATACATGTACCACGTGTGGCTATTCAAACACTGGGTACTGATTTCGAATGCACTTCATCTTCTGCTGCTTGAGTAGTATTTCATAACTCTTATTTCAGACTTTTATTTATTCATGTACTATTTGTGCAGGTACGTGCGACTACATTCCTTCGGCTCCGAACAATGGCCTAAGTAAATTTGTTCCATCAAAGCGTGATCCTTGGGAAGATTTCAATTGGGAAGACCTCCCACCACCGGTTGGGCATTGGCCACAGAATCATCCTCATTATCACGAACCTCAGCTTCCACATCATCCTGGTCTCTTCGATTGGCTTCCATCGTGGAGCGAGGACTTACTGATAGCATTTCTTAATTTAGAAAAAGGCCATATTTCGTGGGAAGAGTTTTTCCAACTGTTTCTCAATGGAATCTCCAACGGGAATGACAACTGGCCTTGGAGTGGAAACATGCCATCAGGTTTACCTGATATTCCATGGAATGATATGTTTGCATTATTACCAAACGGCATTCCTTTGGGAAATGGTAATCACATGGCGTGGGAAGAAATGTTCCAAATGTTTCCAGATGGTTTTCCGTTTGGAGATGGTACTTTTCCTTCTTTTGGGCCTGGAGATGCTGATGATGGGGATACCGTTCCTGTAAACGAGGACGAAGAAACCACGAGGCCGGAGGGTGAAGGAAATGAAGACGGGCCTGGAGATGAAGGACCAGTAAGACCTGGGCCAGATGGAGGTGACAACTTACCACCTGGCCATGGAAATATAAGGCCAGATACTAACGGACGCAATGGTAGTGTGATCTCTACTGACCGGGACATTCCATGGCAGCAACTACTCGGACAATTTTTCGAGTGGCTCGAAGCTGAAAGAGATAGCTGGCCCTGGAACATGAACACCGGTGGAAACGAAGAAATGATGCCTGGCACTAACGAAGATGAAAGTACGAGGCCAAGACCGAGTGAGAGTGATATGAGGCCTGGTGACGACGGGGAAGTTGATTTTGAGAATAGCGAAGAAAGTGAAACACGATCCGACGACCATGAAGCTGAAGTGGGGCCTGGAAATGAAGGAGGTGAAGACGATGAGGAGATGGCTGGAGATCATGATGAAGAAACAACGCCTGGTGGGACAGGAGGAGAGACATCCGAAGAAGCATATAGCCCACTTGAGGGCGTCACTCAGCTTATTGGACTTGTTTCTGGAAGAAACCCCACATCTAACCATACTAGTATAGGCAGTCTTCCATGGCAGCAGTTATTCGATTTGTTTCCTGGTGGAGTTCCTTTTGCAGACGGAGAAATATCAGTGACCCAATTTATCAATGTGTTTCCACGTGGATTGCCTGATGTAGGAAACTTTACAAGGAGAGTTCCTCTATCAGATGTTCTGAACAATCGTTCGTCTGAAAGACCTGTTCAAGGTAATAGCACATTTCCGTGGATTGGTGCAGCACAAACAAGCTTGCTGGGTGTAGGAGACAGAGAACTGACTTGGGAAGCACTGTATCAACGACTTCCAAATGGCCTTCCAATTGGGAATGAAGTTGTTCCATGGGATGCACTGCTTATGTTGTTTCCCAATGGACCTCCCATAGCAGATGATGAATCTGGTGATGGATGGACTGGCCAAGTGCCACAAAATTTCCTAAATCTGGGAGATGGTAGCGTCACATGGGAAGATTTGTTTGAAATATATCCTAACGGTGTTCCTGCTGGTGATTATGTTATTTCCTGGGAAGTCCTGTTCACAATATTTCCCAATGGGCTACCACTGGAGGACGGGGGTACTTCTGGTGAACCTGCTGTTAATATGCCACGTCCTATGGCATGGACTGGTATGATTCCATCCGAAATCCTTGATTTAGGTGATGGTAGTTTAACATGGGAACAATTGCAACAACAATTCCCAGATGGTATTCCATTAGGTAATGAAACAATTACATGGGAAGTACTGTTCATGATGTTTCCGGATGGTCCCCCAGTTGCAAGTTACGACTGGTCTTGGTTAGTCTCAGGGTTTCTCTTAGGGCGTCCCCTAGAGGATGGCAATGGACAAGAGAACCCAAATCCTGGCACAGGAGCAATGAATGGTCATCCGTGGGAAGATCTGCTGGATGTGATACTCACTTGGTTACCTTCCTTTCCTGATGATTGGAGTGATGATGGAGGTACACCTAATGACAATCCAGGGAATGGAGGAATACCTGGTGTAAGACCACCTTCAGGAGGTCAATGGAGTGGCCTTATACCAACAGGCTTATTTGACTTTGGTAATGGCAGTGAAACGTGGGAACAACTGGTTGAACAGATTCCTGGTGGACTTCCGTTTGATACGGGAAACATACCATGGGAAACACTTTTCAGTTTGTTCCCATCAGGGCTTCAGCCTCGTCTTGAGGAATGGCCATGGTCGCTCGATCAGATGTTCACAGGAAATAATGGGATGCCACCTAACATGGGCGGCGTGTCAGAACATACTCAAGAACAGCTTCGACCACTTATTCAAATGCTCTTGGAGAAGTTATGGAGTGGAGAAATTCTCATAGACATGATAGTACACTTTCAGGCAGGTGAAATTCCATGGCAGGACATAGCATTGATATTTCCAAACGGCATTTCGTTTGGGGACATAACTGTTCCTTGGCAAGAACTAATCGATTTATTTGGTGGTGATGGCTATGGTGGTATGTCTGGTGGTAGTGGACATGAAGGGATGATGCCCAAACCATGTCTAAGATTTCCCTTTGGAGAATTCATACCAAGACATCCCTACTACAGCAGTGACAGTGGGGGATCATCCAGTATGTCAAGAGGTGACAGTTCCAGTGAAATGGAGTCAGGAAGTGGTGGCATGATGCCAGGAAGTGGTGAAGCCGTTGGTATGATGCCTGGAGGAGGTGAAGCCCCTGGAATAGTACCTGGAAGTGGTGAAGCCGGTGGTATGATGCCTGGAAATGGTGAAGCTGGTGGTATGATGCCTGGAAGTGATGGAGTCAGTAATATGATGCCAGCAGGCAAAGCACCAACGGAAGGTGACATGGTGTATTTCTTCTGTCAGCCTGGCTACAAGCTCATTGGCTCTCCCAGCATTACCTGCTCGTGTGATGGTACATGGAATGGTTTATCTCCAAGGTGCAAAGGTATGTTTTTGTTTTCTGGGGGGTTTTTTTCAAATCTTGTATAGCCATTAATTCTAGAATTTTTGGAAAAAGATACACATGTATCATGGCAAATTTCATGTTGTAATCTCATGTACAGCAATAACGAAGCCAACTGTGATGCCGGATAACACAACACCATTTGCTGAATTTACAACCCTGGACTCTGATGACCAAACATCAGGAATATTCAAGCAAGAGTTGACGACCATCAATCCCTTTAAAGAAACAACATCTGCTTTAGAAGAAGTAACCATGCTGGGTGAAATGGAATTTTCAACTACAATTATGGTTGATGAAGTTACAGAAGATTCAAGTGAACATCCAAATTTGGAAACAGATGAACCAAAGGGATCAATGACTAGTCCAACAGTTCAACAAACCGATTCAAAAACTCAGGCAAAAGAACTTACAACCAGCCCAAATCCAAAGTTACAATCAACAGATCAACCTGGAGATCCCACAATTAGTCCACAACCAAAGTTGCAGACCACTGTTCAACCAAGTGATGCCAGTACAAGTCCACAGCAGAAGACACAAACAAGTCTACCATCAAATAATCCAACAACGGTACCCCCTGGAGAGTCACAGTCTACTTCAAACATTGAAACGACAAACAGTGAGCAGTACAATGACTGAAATTAATATTAGTCTGATAGAGAATACATATCAAATAATCCTTCATTTTTGTAGAAAATATGCTCATACGAGTAGTTCATTAAAACTGCAACATCATATTATTATTTATTTTAATTTATATAAATTTTTTGCTCCCAGATCCATGCAGTTCGAATCCTTGTGCGGAGAAAGCAAACAGCCAATGTGTCACTACGGACCAGGGAGCCTTTGCGTGTTCTTGTTTACCGCAGTTTTTTGAATCTGATGGTCAATGTGAACGTGAGTAGAACTGCCATTGTACTTGCAGTTTCAAGGCAAAAGATCAGGTATAACAAATGTGAATAATATTTTTATTCCCAACTGAAACTTCTGAAATAACCACGAACATACAAGCAATTGCATACAAATATATTTGGGCCTTTCTGCACAACTTGTAGCAATATTCAGTGTTGTAACGAGTCACTAAATTTGGTGACTCAAGTTGAGACGAGTCAGTTTAACACTGACTTGAGTCAAGTCAAGTCACTTTATGTAGTGGAGTCATCAAGTACCAAGCTCGAGTCAATTTGAGTCACAATTTTTTTCACAAAATACAATAACAGGACAACTACGTGTGAGTCATTTTTTAAAATTTTTATTTCATTTGGACATACTGAAAGTAAATTAGGGTGACAGGTATCTAGCCAACTAAAACTTTGATTTTTACTTTATTGAGACTCTAGTCTTATAAGTTTGTATTCGAGTCTCCATGAGAGATTCAAGTCGAGTCATTTGGTCGC